GGGGGTGGGTGTGACACGGGGTGGGGGTGGGACAGGGTGGAGGAGGGTCAGCCCACGGCGGGGACATCACGGAGGGACGCGTGGAGAAGCCGTGGTGGCCGGGGAGATGGAGGAGCATCATGGAAGGACACGGAGGGACGTCATGGAGGAAGAGGAACAGAGGGGCCACCACGGATGGACACGTAGGCAGATCCAAGGTGGACAGAGAGGTGGAGAACATCATGGAGAGGAAACATCACGGCCATGGAGGAGGTCACCAGTGCACAGAGAAGTGGAGAACGTCATGGAAGGACACAGAGGGATATCACGGTTGAGGAGGAACTGGGGGGGGACACACCACAGGTGGACAAGTAGGGAAGTCAGAGGTGGACAGAGAGATGGAGAACATCAGAGATGGGCCCACAGAGGCCATCATGGACCCATGGAGGACACATAGGGGTATCATGGATGGACAGCTGGAGAACCTCAGAGATGGACCCACAGAGGCCACCAAAGTCATGTGGAGGACACATAGGTGTGTCATGGACGGATGGAGATCTGGAGAACATGAGGGATGGACCCACAGGTGGGTCGCCACGGACACACAGAGGTCATGGTGGACCTATGGAGGTCATGGTGGACGCATAGGGATGTTGTGGAAGGACAGAGAGCTGGAGAACATCAGGGATAGACCCACAGACACCACCATGGACCCATGGAGGACACATAGGGATATCATGGATGGACAGAGATCTGGAGAACATGAAGGATGGACATCCTGGCCAGCAATGAAGAAGCCCCACAGCTCCGTGTCCCCCCTCCCCCATGGTCCCCAACTCACGGCAGAGCTTGGGCCCGCTCCAAGGTGCCACCACCGCCCCGGCCTGCCGACACGCTGCCTCGTAGGCGCCCACCACCTCGCCAAGGACCTCCTGCTCCCCTGGTTCCTCGCAGAGCTCCCGCAGGCAGACGTCGTAGAAGATCCCGGGGTCCACCAGCGGGTGACAACCCCCGAAGGGACCTCCGGGCGCTCGGAGGAGACCGCAGAGCTGGCGGTGGACGAAGGCCCTCTTGGGCGCCTGCTGGCAAGGTGGACACGCTGGCCCGGGGCACGGCCGGTGACACGTGGCGACGGTGGCAACCAGGGGGGGGGGGGC